CGCAACTTACGTTCGACGACCATGTTTTAAAAACTACCTCATCTTGTATGCCTAGCCTCGCACAAATTAGTCGGGTTAAACATGTTCTTGACCGTAACCAACTGGTGACAGTAATAAATGCCCTAGTCTTTAGCAAATTACTGTACTTTTCTACAGTGTGGTCGAACACCTCAAAACAAAAATATTCGTAGAGTACAGTCTATGCAGAATTTTGCCGCGCGCATCCGTTACAGGAACCAAGAAATTCGAGCACATAACCCCCGAACTAAGAGATCTTCGCTGGCTCCCAATTAAACAACAGCTGTTCTTCCGCGACGCTGTCACAGTATTTAAATGCATGAACGGTCAAGCCCCACATTCCCTCTGCGACCAAATTACGACAAGAATTACGGTCACCGGGCGCGTGATTCGAAGTTGTCAACTATTAAACATTCCCTTCAAGTATAGGTCGAGTGCCGGACAGGGAACATTTTACTATCGCATAGTGCATATCTGGAACAATCTTGACAGTGCTCTTAAAACTTCAGAATCGATTTTTACCTTTACATTTTATCTGAAAAACAAATTGATTACTGACTTTTCAAATAGTGATAGTGTTTTTAGTACCTTAATAGTATTTTAATCTATTATAATTTTAACTTGAATTTTGCATATTGTATAGTATGTAGTGATAACATTTATTATAAGATTAATTCTTAGGTAGGTATGTTTATATGGTTTTTAATTGCATTGTCACGGAAAAGCCCCACCAGGGGAGTGTCAATAAACTATTGTATTGTATTGTATTGTACGTTTAAGAGGTTTCACTTTTAGTGACCGTTCAATACAGGAACGCTGGGACTTAGTAAAGGTTGACCGCGAACAGATAATAGAGGTGATCGCTAGATAGAGTTGAATTTGGGACTTTGACAACTGACCGCCTAAGACATGGTGACCGCTTAATACCATGCCGCCTCATTCAGGTTGCACTGTGCTACCATTATACAAATGCGTTATCCTAGAAACTAACATAAACAACGAACTGAACAGTTTTCACAATTGACAATGAAACTGCTCACTGGACTCTGAAAGTGAATACTGCNAGTTCAAGTCCCTGTTGACAGCATGCTGGCCAAGAGGTCCAAAGCAAAGAGGACTCTTGAACGAAAGAAAGAATCCAAACATCCCTCTTCACCCAAGAAACGATGCACTGAAGATTGAAGAACATAACTACTATGTCCAAAATGAAACTAAAACAATGATCCATATGCTGCTCTAAGGAAAAATAAACAGAAATATTCACCTTTTGGTAACAATAATGAAAAGGAGGAAACCCTGATTCATGCTCTCTACGCAACTAGCACATAAAAAAGATGCACTTCTCTTTATCTCCCAGAGTTATGTATTTTTTGCTGTTTGGAGTATTCACACAGAATGTTTAACGTGCGATAGGCAGAAAAAAATTAATCAACTACATTTCATCCCGACAGACCTGTTTCATGGTTGCCCACTCATCAGGGGATTTTATGTAAATTATTGTGGCAATGATATCGTGTTTCGGTTTCCCAAGGAATTGTTCACGCATGCTGTAAGGCATAGCTGGACAGACTACATGGGGCATTTAAGTGTAGTAATCTTAGTTACAGGCAATAAAAGTTTACTTCAGGACATGCTCCTGAGCCCTGGTAGTTTCTTGCATAAATTATGCATGAAAGAATGCGACGTGAGGTGAATATACAGCAAAGATAAGAAAAAAGAAACAGCTCATTAATTTTATTCCTACAATCTGCATATGTTTTAGTTTTGCACTCCTCAAGATCAAACAAGCTGTAAATTGCCATGAACAAATAGACAAGAGTGAAAAAAAAAGTTAAAAATAGAAAAACTGTAGGATACCTGTGGAACACTGTTTAGGTTGTTACATGGTTTTACACATTAGTTGGGGAAAAAAAAAGTGATTCTTATCATATAATTTTTGACAAAATAAAGATTCCAAATGCAACATAAAATCAATGAAAAGTGCAAGTGCCTTAAAATGTAATATTCAGTCACCATTTCATCTTTTTTCTAACTCACTGAGTTTTTAATTGCTATTAGTACATTGGACATGGTTTCCCCTGGAATTCTATGGTAAGTAGTCATTTATTTTGGTGATACTTACCAGCTGATAAAATTAGTTAAATCAATTTTGCACTTCTCAAACACCTCAGCATTTAAATTTATTTATATAATCAGATGCTTTTGACAATGAATGTTTTTGGTCTGACTACGGTTGAATGTGAACCATGTATTACTAAGTAGCTAAATATGATCATGGTTAGGCACCATGGTCCCCATCACTGTCAACCATGGCTGACCATGTTTGTCACTCAAGAACCTTGGTACCATGGTCAACCTGAAGCTGGAGTTGAGGGCTTTCTGACTTCTGAATATTAAATAATGTACTTTACATTACGTGAATGCATACTTTACTTACTATTGGGAAGTTGGCAAAAGTATATTGACATTCCTAACCATCAAGCTTGAAAACAGCTGGTCAGATGGAAGGATCAGCATCAAGCTACAATAAAAGCAGTCCAAGCCTGCATATGGCTAGTGCTGTGTAAAAATGGGTTATGATGAATACATTTTCATGTAATTAATTAAATGTCTTATTTCAACCAGCTAAAGAATGCCACTGAAGTTGTTATCAGTAATATGCTCTTTTTGTTGGCGGGTTTCTTGTTTTGAATCATCAGAAAAATGTGCAATTTACAACTTTGTAAACAGTATTCGTTTCCAACAATAATAATGTTTGAAATAGGTATTACATTTCTAATGAAAACGATCAAAAATAAGGCTTCAATTCATCATTAAAGCACTTGAAATCGGACTTTTCACCAGTGTCAACAATATAATAATATAAGTGTCAACAATACAACAACATTATAAAAACAAGAACTCATAATCCAACAATGTTATGAAAAAGGTATAACATTTATAATGAAAACAATAAAAAACAAGGTTTCAATTCCATTGTTAAAGCATGTGAAACTGAACTTTTCACCAGTGTCAACAATATAATAAGCGTCAACAATTTTATGTTATAAAAAGCAAACTCATAATCCAACAATATAACAATGTTTTGAAATAGGTGTAACATTTACAATTAATGATAAAATCAAGGTTTCGATAGCATTGTTTAAGTCAGTGTTCTTAATTAGTCCCACAATGTAATAACATTATAAAAACAAGAACTCATAATTATAGTTAAATCAAAGGTAAAGGTAGGGTAAAGTCTGTTTATGAGCCTAGTGGCCCATTAGGCCAGTGCTTGACTCCAGTTTCTGTGGCATGAAGCGACTAGGAGTATTTCTACTCCCCCCTGGATGGGATGCCACTCCATCGCATGGGTTATTATGTAGGAGTGATTTTGGCATGCTTTGGAATTTTGTACTGTGGTTCAACATCAGATGAAAGGGTTGTTGTGGATTATAAGCATTTCACTCCTTGTATTTTAATTGGTGATTTGCTAATGAAGGCTTACTGCAAGTTGGTTCTTTTCTTTGGAGAATAACAGACAATTCTAACTTTTTCATCATCAGAAGTTTGGATATTACAGCTAAAGTAGTTTGTTGAAGTAATTTTTTCACTGTTCTTACTGTTGATAATAAATGTACATATCCTTCAAGCATTGTTTCTGCAAAATAAATGATAACAAATGAATGTTTCATTTTGCCCATTTATATAAGTATACACATATGAATGAAATTCTATATTTTATAACCATAGCAACAAGACTTTGGTGGATAATTTCATCATTGACTTCACAAGCATCAAGATTGAGGATGTACTGCCGACAAAAAAGAGATGCTTCGGTGGACTTTTTCAAGATTTCAAGAGTTGATTAAAGACAAAAAGACATCACATTTTTCCTTTGGGAGACACTAGCAAAAACTGTGCTTAATTGTAACAATTGGAATACAAAACATTTAGGGATACAAATTTTATAGCCCAACCATGAGTACTATGTCCAAGCATTTTTAATTGTGAATCTTTTGTTTGCTGTCATTTTTCATGTACATCCTGCAAGTAGTAAGCTAATTAATTCTAGTGATTTATCAAAATACAGTATTTTGGCCAGCCTAGGTTGAAACCCTTGTGAACTGAATTCCCAGTTTTCTGGGAATTCTCAAAAATTCTCAACTATGCAAATAAGCTCTGATTTGAAATGCATGGAACCATTGGGAATTTCTAGGAAAGGGAGATTCCAGTTTTGTGAAGAATTGGAATTCCCACAAATTCCCTTGGAATTATCAGCCATACAAACTACCTATGAGTCAAGAAGGGTGGAACACTATGGAATTTCTGGGAATTGAATTTGAGGCAATTTTAATGACCCTGAAGTCCAAATAATTCCAAGAAATTTTCAATACCTTGAATTTGAAGGTTTTATGAAGACGGTGAGTTATTTTAGAGGCTAAAACTTTGGTTCAATAGAAGGTATGCTACACAAAATGTACCTAGAGATGTACACATGTCTATGTTAATCATGAAATTTATTATTCAAACTAAGTTTTAGTAAATCTTTCATAAAGCAGTCGTCAATTATGTTAAAAACAAATTACCAATTAATCCAATGTACTGACATATCACATATTTGCTCTCTAACCTCAAAGGCCTTCGGATTCCACTATGATAAAAGTTTTCATTGTGATGCAAAATGTTTCATATCCACAGATGTGCCAAAATCATATAACATAACCCTAAACATGGGATGGCTTCGTACTGTTCATATCCATTTGTGAGCGAGAATTTAATTCCGCACCTCCATAAATGGTGTTTCTTCGTTGAGACGCACTTGAATCTGTTGGCATCACAGCTTGTTCAGTGAGAACGACAGACTAGGGAATCGAGATGGTATTCCTAGAGCGGTATTCATCTGTTATAATCATGAGGATAAATCACGCTTGTAATCACGTTCAAAATTGTGATTAGCTAGAGTAATTTCTCGCCTTTGTCGCATGCCGTGAACACAATTCGAGTGGGTTTCGAATCTTTGTTTCCTCGACAAGTTTTGGACAAAACACGTGCACTTGTAGCACGTTCGATTCTTATCGATTATTTCTACATAGAGTGAGTTCACATCATTATTCATTGTTAGAACATAGATCCTAAGGAATCCATCGCCTTTTAGCCAGAGGAAAGACAATATTTTTACGCGCTTCTGTCGAGACTGCAACCTGGCAGGCCAGCGGATTCTCTTTACTAACCAATGACAATTCCTAAAAGATCCACGTGATCATACACGTGATCGAAAACAAATAAATCTCTATTTGGCGCTTTTCTTTGAATGTACCATTTCATCCGAGGGCTCGTGAGTAATGTTTTTGCTTAATTCTTGCTTTTCACTCACGTGACCAACTCCTTGACAACGGTTACGGTCCGCCATCTTTGAGTACAGCTTTGCCTAACAACCAACTATTCAAACGCAACTCAAATTCGGAAAGAGCTTTTCAGTTGTTTTTGCGATGGTTCTCTGCTTAATGATCAATTGCCATAATCGCACTGGCCGAGATAAAGATATCAAGTTCTATGTTGTGCCATCGATTATCAAAAATCAAGGCGAAAAGGCCGAAGAATTGTCTATCGAACGGCGAACAAGATGGCTTTCCGCCATTAGCCGTGACAAACTTTCCGAGTCAGTCTTGCGACATGATCGCGTCTGTAGTCGCCACTTCATATCAGGAAAGCCTGCAGCAAGTTGGGATAAATACAACGTTGATTGGGTGCCCACTTTGAATCTTGGACATTCAAAGAAACAGCGAGACGACGAGCGACAACTTCGAGATACTGAAAGAGCCGAAAGAGGGAAATTGCGACGTAAACGACAAGTTCAACTTTCATTCGCCTAGCTGATCTAAAATCTATGTCCTTAACTTTGGAATAGGGCACTTCTTTCACGTACGTTGGTAACAACCAGGTACATTTGACCTGAGTGCAGGCAAGTTTTCCGTGTATTCGTGTCCACGCTTCGATATAAAATAATACACTTGCGATATGTGAACACGATTCTCCTAAACCAGCAAGACAATTAAAGCAATGAGCGGACGCAATTACTCCTTCTTTATTGGCAATGATCCATACTTTGATAGGTGGATCGTTCATTCTTTGCGATCGACGAACCTTACCAATGACAACAAACATATCTGCGATAACTCTTCCTTGAACGCTCGTTACAAACCCTGAGACCACTTGATTGTATGCCTCCAAACTTTTAAAGTTCTTAAACTGGTTTAGTGTGTAGTAGCTTGTTTCTAAAACAAGGTAAGATACAAGATCCCCGGCTTCTATCGGGGGAAGACATTCTGGATCGAAGTGTGAAGTATCGAGCGTAGAGGGATCGATGCCTATTACTGCAATTTTTTCCACATAACGGCATCGCACGTGGTTATCTAGGCCTTTTACATATTCAGATAAGACGAGTGAGGATTTTTCTACTGTATTCTGTTCTTTTACAAGTGTGTTTTTGCTAGAATCGCTCAAAAAACTGTCCGACATTAAGTCAAAATACTAAGCACGTGAGGCGAGTTCACATATGCAAATGAGCTACCTGTACTCAAAGATGGCGGACAGTAAATCGATGACGTCATATGAAAAGCAAGAATANTGCACACCCAGTGAAAACTACCCGTGTGCAGAATTTGTACAAACTCACTAGTAATAATACTGAAGTTTCTACATGGGCCCAATGTTGTTCTTTGGAACCCTTCAATTAAAGGATTGACTTTCTTAAGGCATATCTGTGCTTGCTGGATGATTGTACAATCAAGATAGCCATTACTGGACATTATGATCTCAAAATGTTCTTGAGTTAAATCACCAAGAGGTGCCAATTTATCAGTGTTCCCTTTGGTTTCTTTAATGATCTCAGCCTCATCATCACTTGAATTTTGACTATCATCAATTATTGGAGAAACTACATGATTAACTGGCTCAGATTGCTGTGAAGTACCTGGAGCACAAGTGGTAGGTTGGTGATTAGATGCCTTGTAAACATCTGTTTTGGTACCTGTGACTAAGGGTTGAAAATCACTGAGAGGTGCCAATTTGTCAATGTTCTCTTTGGTTTCTTTAATGATCTCAGGCTCATCATCACTTGAATCTTGACGATCATCAATTATTGGAGAAACTGCATGATTAACTGGCTGAAGTTGCTGAGAAGTACAAGTGGTAGGTTGGTTATTGGGTGTCTTGTAAACATCTGTTTTAGTGCCTGAGACTGCAGGCTGATAATTTCCATTAACTTTGCAGCTGCTACACATCCAGTTAGTTTGCCAATTGTTAGGCATTCTTTTGTAATGCAAACAATCAAGGTGGAAAAATTGTCCATTCTTACATTCATTATTGTGACACTTGATTAGTCTGTCAGTCCTTGTTGCCTTTTTGCCACAGATGCAAACACTAGTGCGACTCAATGCTTTTTCATCGTTAGAATTATTATTGCACACCTTGCTACCCCTCTTTGGCTTTTGGAATTTAGGAAGTAGACAGCAAGTTGGGCAATACCATGTTTTAGGAATTGCCTCAGTAATACGCAAACAAGAATAATGAAATTTCTTGATATTGCAATCTTTATTGCTGCATTCAAGAACTCTTTCATCCAATTTCTTTCGACAGTAGCAAATCCCATCTGGGTCAATAGTGCAGGCAATACCAGGTAAATGTTGTTTTCTGGTGTACCATCTTGATGTCAGCTCAGGTAATACACATATTCTCCAAGTCTGGGTTAACTTGGGAACAACAACATCCCAATGCTCTGGATTTGGCATTATTCTCTCTACAAAGATAATGGGACCAGATTCTGAGAAAGAACAAACTACAAAGTCACAATATTTGCATTCTGTGATGAGCAGTTGTTGTTGTACCTGGAAATAATATTGATGGTCCCTCTTCAATTGTAGCTCTCCATCAACTAGTTGAAGACAAGATGATTTCTTTTGAAAGTAACTATCAAAGTCACCATTCTTCAGGCTAAAGGGGCACTTGACCTCTCCACACCCATCACCGCAACAAGAACAAGTAACCAAAAAGTCAGGAGTTGCGTGCAGCCATGGTCTGCTTTTGTCGATAAACATTCCACACTTGGACACATTAAAATCTTTATGCTTCCCTGATACTGCTTTTGTGTAGGCATCAATAGCCTTGGCTTCATTTTTGTTCCCATACAAAGTTGCCTCAGTTGTCACTTTAAATAGCTGAGGATAACAAATGGTTTTCACCAATGATATCGATGGTTGTGCTGCAATTGTATGGAAAACGGTATGACTTTGGGACGCTCCAATTCTACCTGCTCGGTGAATAAAAAATGCAGATGTTCGTGACTGTTCTCGGGTGTCCTCCTCAATAGTTTCTATCTCTGCTTCCGAGAGAGATATGTCAATTTCAGAGCATTTAGTTAGCAAATCAACATAGTTCAACTTTAAGTTTTCAGGATCAAACAGGTCACTGAGGGTAGGAATCCGCCGGCTTTTCAACATAAAGCTATCAGCATAAGGTGAAATAAGACTAAGAATAACAGGCTTGTTTTTACATTCATTTAACTTGCGGAAAAGATCGCCAATTTCTTGGTCAGATGGTTTACACTCTGCTGATTTTGACGGCGCTTTGTTTTGGCTGGATTGGCTATCAACGTTGAACTGGCCTTCGTCGATTTTCTTGTCAAGTTCAACTTTCATTCGCCTAGCTGATCTAAAATCTATGTCCTTAACTTTGGAATAGGGCACTTCTTTCACGTACGTTGGTAACAACCAGGTACATTTGACCTGAGTGCAGGCAAGTTTTCCGTGTATTCGTGTCCACGCTTCGATATAAAATAATACACTTGCGATATGTGAACACGATTCTCCTAAACCAGCAAGACAATTAAAGCAATGAGCGGACGCAATTACTCCTTCTTTATTGGCAATGATCCATACTTTGATAGGTGGATCGTTCATTCTTTGCGATCGACGAACCTTACCAATGACAACAAACATATCTGCGATAACTCTTCCTTGAACGCTCGTTACAAACCCTGAGACCACTTGATTGTATGCCTCCAAACTTTTAAAGTTCTTAAACTGGTTTAGTGTGTAGTAGCTTGTTTCTAAAACAAGGTAAGATACAAGATCCCCGGCTTCTATCGGGGGAAGACATTCTGGATCGAAGTGTGAAGTATCGAGCGTAGAGGGATCGATGCCTATTACTGCAATTTTTTCCACATAACGGCATCGCACGTGGTTATCTAGGCCTTTTACATATTCAGTTAAGACGAGTGAGGATTTTTCTACTGTATTCTGTTCTTTTACAAGTGTGTTTTTGCTAGAATCGCTCAAAAAACTGTCCGACATTAAGTCAAAATACTAAGCACGTGAGGCGAGTTCACATATGCAAATGAGCTACCTGTACTCAAAGATGGCGGACAGTAAATCGATGACGTCATATGAAAAGCAAGAATACGATGATTGTATTTAGCAAAACAGCCGAGAATTACAACATCTCTATAGATAGGTTTTACCGTTGTTCGAGGGGATGACGAGAACAGAGTGAGTGTTGTAAATGAAAAGCAGGTCGTTGGCGCCATGGAGTTAAAAGAAGGGACAACAGTGGCCATATCGATTGGTACAAACAACGGCGAGCGGCCATTTATAAAGCTACGATTTTGAAAGTTTGTGGTGAGTACAAATTGCGATATTCGGTAGGTGATCAAAACTGAGAATCGAATCTGTCAATTGCATGCCAGTCTCTTAAGCTTACGCTTTACAATGAATTAAATCTATCAGTAAGCTAAAGGTTTCAGGATCATTTTAGTCATGTTTGACAAGCTGCGAGCCCAGCAAAAAAGACAAACAACTGCTAAGTCTGCAGTTTAGGATAACTCCATTACAATTTATTGT